TGTTTTAAAAATTAAGGCCTTTTATCGACTTAGAATCTTGGTTAAGTTTTTAGTACCAGTCCACTTTTTGACTGAACTGTTTGAGATATTAATTTGAAAGTTGGAATACTTGTTTACCATCATGGTCCCAAAACATGGGCAGGAGAAGGTAATTCTGTTAAGGATTTTATTTGAATTATGGCCCTTTTTGACTTAGAAACTCAGTTAAGATTTTCATTCTTGTCCACTTGTTGACTTAACCATTTGAGATATTACTTTGGAAGTTGGAGTTCTTATGTGCCATCATGAGACCTATCTGTAAGCAAGAGAAGATAACTCTGTGAAAATGTTTCTTGATTTGTACTTAGAAATTCCTAGTTAAAGTCTTGTGTGCCCTTAACTGTCAAAGTTTTGTTTTATAGGCAAGCACTAAAAAAGTCGAGCGCGCTGTCCTTCTGACAGCTCTTGTTCCAAGATAAAATTACTGAAATAATTAGTTTGAATCAACACACAATTGTTTTTCCAACAAAAAATAAAAGCTGAAGGCCGTTTTAACATATTTTAACAACCAGTTTAAAACAATAGTGTTGCAATTTGCAGTTTCAAGTGATCATGAGTGGATGCTTAATGTTATCTTTCTTATCAAGCCCATTCATGTTATGGGTACACCAGGGATATTATTCCTGGTGTAAATTTCATAATGACTCATACGATATAGTTTCCTGTGGAGTCCAGCCTCAGTTTTTATTTTCAAAAAAATCTTTCGTCTTTCCTAGAAGTGGTGATAGACCATGCGGTTATAGACCGTGATGACATTTTGAAACAGGTTACTTATATCAGTAAGTGATCTCATAGATTTCTTTGAAAATTGAAATCTGGGTTAAGTTTCACTATCTGGGAAATAAAAAGAATGAATTGCGTGTATATATAAATAAACAATTTATGACACAGTAGCCTAAGTGTTTATATATGACACAATCGATAACGCATATTTTATTAATTTGTTTAAAAAAATAATAATAGTAATAATGTCCCTGTTCAAAGATTTATTTAAGTGGAGTCATTTTTTTTTTCGTATAAAAATTAATTTATTGTATAACTACCAAGAATAGTGTTTCTAAATGAAACAATGTTACATGGGTACCAGTGTTAAATTGAATGAATTTTTTTTAGCTCACCTGAGCCGGGTCAGGAAAATCCACTGTCTGACGTCTTGAGTCTATAATCCTCATTTAGTTTGATGACACTCTAGTGGTCACATTTTTGCCTCAATTGTCACCAAACTTGGTCAGGATGTTTGTCCAAGTAATTTCTTGGACGTGTTTCAGCATGGGTCATCTCAGCTGAAAAACTAGGTAACAGGAGCTAAAAATAAAAAAATCTTGTTAACATTCTAGTGGCTACTGTTTATGTCCATATGTCCTGGAATTTGGTCAGAAAGATTGTTTTATGATTTCTAGATCAAGTTCAAATATGAGTCACCTTGGGTAAAAAACTAGGTCACACAGCCCAAATATGGATAAACCTTGTAAACACTGACTCGTATTGGATAAAAGAACACTTGACAAAACTGACATGTTGAATTATTCTGATATGACCTTGACCTTTAATTGATTGACTTTTGAGGTCAAGTTATTGAAATTTGCTAAAATTGTCACAAATTTGTTATTTTTATTAGCTCACCTGTCACAAAGTGACATGGTGAGCTTTTGTGATCGCTTTTCTTCCGGCATCCATCCCTCTGGCATCCGTAAACTTTTACTTTAAACGACATCTCCTTATAAACCGCTAAGCCAATTTCATCCAAACTTCACAGGAATGTTTCTTTGGTAGTCAACTTTAAAAATTATTCTCATAATTTAATTCCAAGCAGAACTCTGGTTGCCATGGTAACCGAAAGAAAAAAACTTAAAATATCTTCTTTTAGAAAGCAAAAGAGCTAGAGCTTAAATATTTGGCATGAAACATCATCTAGTCAGTGTCTACCAAGTTTGTTCAAATAAATGCCATGAGGTCAAAATTGGCCCCACCCCAGGGGGTCATTGATTTTCCATATTTGTATATAGTTCAAACTTAAGAAATCTTCTTTTAAAAAAACCAAATAGTTAGAGGTTAGATATCAAGCATGAAACATCTTCTTGTGGGTGTCTACCAAGTTTGTTCAAATAAAAGCCATGGTGTAAAATTTTGACCCGCCCCAGGGGTCATTGATATCGATTTTCCTTATTTGTATATAGTAAAAACTTTAAAAAACTTCTTTTAAAAAACTAGAATAGCTAGACTTTAGATATTAAGCATGAAACATCTTCTAGTGGGTGTCTACCAAGTTTGTTCAAATGAAAGCCCTGGGCAAAAATTGGCCCCGCCCCAGGGGGTCATTGTTTTTCCCTTTACATACATAGTAAAAATTTTAAAAAATCTTCTTTTAAAACCCCAAAGAGCTAGAGCATGAAACATCTTCTAATGGTGTCTACCAAGTTCGTTCAAATAAGGGCCCTTGGGTTAAAATTTAGGCCCCGCCCCAGGGGTCATTGATTTTCCTTATATGTGTATAGTAAAAACTTAAAAAAATCTTCTTATAAAAATCCCAAAGAGCTAGAGTTTAGATACTAAGCATGAAATATCTTTTAGTGGGTGTCTACCAAGTTTGTTGAAATAAAAGCCCTGGGGTCAAAATTGGCCCCTCCCGGGGAGGGGGTCATTTTTTTCCCTGTATATATATTAGTAAAAACTTTAAGAATCTTATTGAAAAAAACCCAAAGAGCAACAGCTTAGATATTTATCATGAAACATCTTCCAATGGGTGTCTACAAAGTTTGTTCAAATAAAAGCCCCTGGTTTAAAATTGGCCTTGGCCCAGGGGCCTATATACAGGTGAGCGATTTCAGGGCCATCATGGTCCTCTTCTTTATGGATTTAATTCATTCTTGGACTAAAACGCTGTTATGACAAGACTGCCATGATGATAAATTCAAATGTGACCTTCACCTTTGAATGACCTTGACCATCAAGGTCTTTAATGTTTTGTGGGAGTACTCTTTTCTGATGTATTCTTCCTCTGATGTGTTTGACTTTAGAAATAAGAATAAGTCGAGCTTGGCCCCCGCTATGCAATGGCTCTTGTCTTATAAAGAATATACTCTTCTCCAAACTCATTGAATGTTAAAAAAAAAATAGAATTAAAAATAATAGAACCAGGTCAAGCAGCCCTTTGGTGACATCTGACATGACTGTTTACCATTATAAGCTTCTTGATTTTAACATGTTAACATCTCATCACCAAGGAAAAGTTATGAATAAAAAAACAGGGCACTTCCTGACATAAGCTATGTTTGACAAGACATAGTAATAATTTAAACTTTAGCAAAAAATTTATAGCAACTAGTGATGTATTCATTTGGTTCTGGTTGTAGACTTTGATAATTGGTCATTTCAAATGTGCCATTTAACAATATTAGTTACCATTTCTAGCTTTCTTTTGGAAATTGTTCGGCAGTGATGAAAAACATACTAACTTCTGAGGAATAATGTTTTCTGTCTTTTGCAGTATGAAAAAAAAGCACCTTCAAATGTTTAAAAAAAAATTAACCTTGTCTGTCTCGTTATTTCAGGTCCAAACTAGTCGGTCCAAGTGAATGTACATAATTATATGCCTTTAAGTGTGACATATATTGCAATTTTATGAAATCGGCCAATCATCTTGTATCTTAACATAGAATTATGTCATATGATATTTTAAGTTGAAAGATCCCTTTATCCCTTAAGCGTTACATTAATGTCAATCATGTTTTAAATGATCAAGCCTTTATAATTTTTCATTGCTCCATTTTTATAAAAGTTCAAGGTTAGGGAACAGTTTACACAAGGTTAATAAAGCAATAGTTTTGGGAGGAGCCAAATAGCTGTTTATGTGTCAACCTTATATCTGGTAATTTGAACCCTGGGTTATAACCAATGCTTCATTAACTTAAGTAGTGTCTGCAAGCTTATGGTAAGTTGTGCTTGATTATAGATACTGGACATACCGGCTCTGAAGATTTTCTTACCAAAAAAGCTGAAAAGTGGCCAGATAACAAAAATTATGATGTTGGTTGGGGTAGTAATCACCTTTAGTGATAGCACTAGTTAAGGGACTAGAGACAACAAATAAATATTGAGCTTCAAAATAAAACATAGATATATTCTTGTCATATAATTATGTACAGATAGGTAACAGCTCTTGTAACAGCTTTTTTAGGTATTCTCATGATTTAATCAATACAAATATAACCAGATGTCCATGTTTGAATAAATATGAGTGTTTATGAAGTCGGAGAAACGTTTGGCCTATACTATCAGTGTTCAGTTATTAAGAAAATTTAAATGACCTTAAATCTTGCCTTAAACCTTGTTGTCAATATACATTGATATGGCTTCATTTTGTATTCTATTCTATGGTTTAAGCTCAGGTTCTTTTGAAATGATTCTTGTTGGTGATTACGTTATATTTATACATATATTTTTGAGAGTGGATTCATAAGCATACTCGTCTCATTGACAAAATAGACTTTCCATAGGCCTTCAGTAAGCTTACAGAAGGTTTATTGTTCTACTCAAGTGCCACCAGTTGTTTAAAAAATAATGCATGTAATGGTATTTGAAGTCTTCCTACACAATTAAGTGATCCTTCACAAGTGCCGCTAGATTCTACACAAGTGTTGCTAGATTGTGGTCAGAAAGAATAAGCAATGAAACCCGAAACCAGAGTTGACCATCACTTTAGATTATGAGCAATTCTATATAGAATTTTTAATCATTTAAGTGACTTGCCTGATACTCCATCTGCATAAGGGCAATTTGTACATCTATTAAATTTTGGTCTGGTCTGATAATTCCAAAAAAGGGAGCATATATAATCTCAGCATGGTGAAATATTCTTTGTTATATGCTATTTAATTGCATTAATGGATAAACTTCTTTTATAATATAATAGGAGTTAACACATTACTGCACCAAGGTGACAATATATTTTATTACGTCATACACTCCTCGGTTCTCAAATGAGATGCGCGCGCATAATCAGTGGTGATAAATCAGTGCGTAGCAAAATCTTGTCGAGGTCGGACGTGGTCTGACACTCTGGTGATAAATTATTGCACTAACTTTTTATTTAGTAGCTACGAGGTAGTTACGATTGAATAAATTACTACGTGGTAGTAATTATTATAAAAGCAATTTACAATAATTTATTTTGTGATAAACACAATATAATTATATTCTTTCGTTAAATATTTATTTCTATAAATATTTTCGTTTAAATTTGACTGTGTCGCCATTTTAAGTTGTCGGTAACTTAATTTATCGATAATAATATAGGTACCCGTCTCGCACGTGTGTCAGTAAAGTACCCGTATTACATGTGTTAGAATGGCGGACGCAATGTTGCCAAAAACGAAAGAAAACGACGGTAAAGTCCCAAACCCAAAGCCTCAGTCGTCAAAATCTGTTGAGGGAAATAAAGGTCCTTCGGGTAAAGGCCCTATGAGTGGGAAGAAGACGTCTAGTAAACCGTCTGTTGCGAGTACATCGCAAAGTTGTTCCCAAGGTTCTACTTCCATGCCTTCTACCGGCACCGGTCCGGATGTAAATTTAGTGACTTTCACGCAAGAAATGGCCGGTATAATGAGAGAAATGAGGGATAATCAGAATCAACTGTCGCAGAGAGTTGAAACAATTGCCGAACGTGTTGACAGTTTAACCTATGATTTTGGCCAGTGTGGGCCTAGTTATGAGCCTAGTCAGGCTAGTGATGATGATGATAATTGTCAGCTATTTTCTGATAAGTCCCAAGATGATTGTTCCTTGTCCGGTTATTCTCAGTCACAGCAGGTTCATGATGTTGCTGAACAGGGTCTGTTTAAAGGGTTATTAAACAAGTTCAAACAGACAGAACAGGTTGATAATGAAGTGCATGGGGATTTGGCAAATTTTATAAATGAAAGCTTCCGAGGTGGAATGTCAGATGAGGCATACACTAGTTTAAGTAAAGACATCCATAGGCCGTCAAATTGTATGAGTCTTACCAAAACCACTGTTAATCCTCAAATTTGGTCTTACATGAAACCATGGACACAAACAGCGGATGTAAAAATGCAAGCTATTCAAGTGGCAGTTGTAAAGGCAGCTATTAATTTCACTAAAATGATGGATAAAATTGCCAACTCTGTGGACAGTGATATATTAGAGTTTGGTTCAGATGCCTTAGGTATACTAGGACATGCACACAAGTTAATAAATGTGCGTCGTAAAGAAATGCATCAGGCGGATTTAGACAATAGGTATAAACAGTTATGTTCTGCCAATGTTCCTTTTACTGACAAACTATACGGTGATGATGTATGTAAAAATGTCAAAGAGATTCAAGATATGAGTCGTGTTGGGAAACAGTTGTCTGTACTGTCAAGATTTAAGGGTCCGAGAAGAGGCCGTCCATATCCCTCAGGGCCTTATGGCAATTTCCGAGGAAGAGGCCGTGGTCGTGGTGGACGTTACCAACCATTGACGAGTAGTTATACTCAAGCGCCAAAAAACCCCAAGATGGGAGTCGGCAAACGTTAAATTTAGAGGTAAGTACTTCTTCTTCTAAGTTTGAGGCAGGTAGACTAAAAAAGTTTGAACAAAATTGGAGAAATATAACTTCTGATCCGAAAATCTTAGATATAGCTCTTCATTGCCATTTTGAAATAAACGATGACTATAAACTTGAAAAAACATTTATTATTGGATCAAAATTTTCTGAGTCGGAAAGTATTATTGTTGATAAAGAAATAAAGAAATTGCTAGAGTTAAAAGTTATCAAGTTAGTACACCACGAAGAAGGTGAATTTATATCCCCAATTTTTACCAGACCAAAAAAGGATTCTGGTGAATATCGTGTTATATTAAATTTGAAAAAATTGAATAAATATGTATCATGTCATCATTTTAAGATGGATTGTTTTGAATCAACATTAACATTAGTTACAAAAGGTTGTTATATGGCATCTTTGGACATCCGTCATGCTTATTATTCTGTTCCTATTGCTGAAGAACAGCAGAAATTACTTAGATTTATTTGGAAAGATAATCTGTTTCAGTATACCTGCCTCCCTAATGGCATTTGTTGTGCTCCCTTATTATTTACAAAGTTGTTAAAACCTGTTTATGCAACTCTAAGGAAGCAAGGTCACAAAAATAGTGGATATATTGATGATTCTTTATTAGTTGCTGACAGTTTTCAGAGCTGTAAAAAGAATGTAGATGATACAATAAAATTATTTGATGAATTGGGATTCATTAAACATCAAGAGAAATCTGTACTAATTCCAACAAAGAAAATAACTTTTTTAGGCAATGATATCAATTCTGAAGACATGACTGTCACCTTACCACAGGACAAAGCCAAAAAGTTGATTCATGCTTGCTTAGAGTTGCATAACAAAAATGTATGTTCAATAAGAAAAGTTGCCCAAGTCTTGGGGTTAATGGTATCAACTTTTTCCGCAGTAGAATATGGACCACTTTTTTATAGAAATATTGAACGAGAGAAAATAGAAGCATTAAAAAGGGCGAATGGTGATTTTGATTTACAAATGAATGTCTCGTATGCCATGAAGCAAGATCTTTCTTGGTGGATTGAAAATTTGTATTCTCAAAAGAGATGTATAGATCATGGAAACCCTGAAATAATTATAACTACAGACTCCTCGTTAATTGGATGGGGTGCTGAATGTTCAGGTGAAAAAATTCAAGGAAAATGGCTCGTTGAAGAGTCTTGCAAACATATCAATTACCTGGAATTAAAAGCTATTTATTTTGCTGTAAAACTATTTTGTAAAAACACAAAAAACACTCATGTTCAAATAAGGTGTGATAATACTTCAGCAATTTCTTACTTAAATGCAAAAGGAGGAATCAAATCATATGACTTAAATGACTTGTCAAAAACTATTTGGTTATGGTGTATAGAAAGAGATATTTGGTTATCAGCAACTTATGTTCCTGGAAAAGAGAATATTGCTGATCAAAGTTCACGTATCTTCAATGACAATGTAGAGTGGACTCTTGATAAGTCTGTTTTTCAAAAGATTATATCTATTTGGGGAATTCCGGAGATTGATATGTTTGCATCTAGAACAAACAGACAATTACAGAGATTTGCTTCATGGCATCCAGACCCAGAGGCTGAATTTATAGATGCTTTAAAACCAGTTGGTCTAATACATACTTTTATGCTTTTCCCCCTTTCAGTTTGGTAGGCAGATGTCTGCAGAAAGTACTGCAGGACAGAGCAGACTGTATTTTAATAGCTCCAGCGTGGGAAACAGCAGAATTATTATCCAGTGTTGATGAATTTGTTGATAGACAACCCGGTTATGCTTCCACAAGGGAACATTTTATCCATAGTGAACACCAACAAAAGTACATCCGTAAATCAAGAAATTACGTCTGATTGCTTGTCGGCTTTCAGGAGATCTTTCCAAAGTAAGAACATATCAGTTAAGTCTACCAATATCATACTTGCATCATGGAGAAAAGATACGAAAAAACAATATGTGTCTTATATCAATCGTTGGACCAGATTCTGTAATGACAGACAGATTAATTCAGTTCAAACAGATTTAAATTTTGTCTTAGATTTTCTTACAAGTCTCTATGACAGTGGATGTGGTTATAGTGCTATTAATACAGCACGAAGTGCTCTTTCAGCTATAGGTATTGTTAAAGATGGGTTTTCCATTGGTTCTCATCCAATAGTAATCAGATATATGAAAGGTATTTTTAACCTTCGACCTTCGCTTCCAAAATATTGTGAAACATGGGATGTATCATCAGTATTAGCCTATTTGAGGAAATTGTCACCTGTTAGCAAACTTTCATTGAAGCTTTTGACTCTAAAATTATGTATGTTAATCGCATTGACTTTGGCAAGCCGGGTTCAGTCTATATATTTACTTGATATAAAAGACATGAGGAAATGTTCTTCATCATATATTTTGCATTATAGTGGGCTATTGAAACAGTGTCGTGCTGGGTTAAGTAACCCTGTTGCTGAATTGAAATCTTATCCTCCAGATAGGAGATTATGTGTTGTTTTTGTGCTTAAGGAATATTTAAAGAGGACTGTGAATCTTCGTCAGGGAAAAACATGTTTATTTATCAGTTACATTAAACCTCATAATGCAGTCACAAGAGATACAATAAGTAGATGGTTACGTACAGTTATGAAATGCTCGGGCATAGATTCTGGAAAGTTTAAAAGTCACAGCATTAGAAGTGCCAGTGCATCAAAGGCAAAGCAGAAATTCGTACCTATTGAAGATATTTTAAAGATGGCAGGATGGTCTAATGGTCAGACGTTTGCTAGATTTTATGACAAACCAATTCAACAGACTTCATACAGTGAAGCTATACTACATCAGTAAGGTAATACTTTTTACGGAATGAATCAAATTGATACATATAGTTACATATGTATCTTACATGAAGCTTTGCCAAAAATTTGCTTTGAAATCTCATTTGAGAACCGAGGAGTGTATGACGTAATAAAATCCCACAAATAAACGAGACTTACCTTGGTTAAGTTGAAGTTTGGTTGGGATTTTATGTAGTCATACACTTCGAAGGGGATCAAATGCCCTCCCCTTCTCCCTCCCTTATTATTTGATTATTTTGATAATGGAATTTTTAGCAAAGCTAGATTTTTTACTTTGAAGACTGATTTATCACCACTGATTATGCGCGCGCATCTCATTTGATCCCCTTCGAAGTGTATGACTACATAAAATCCCAACCAAACTTCAACTTAACCAAGGTAAGTCTCGTTTATTTGTGGGATTATATTTTAACATAATTAATAAGTTATAGAGCCATAGGTATTATATTGCTTAATCAAGTTTACTAGTATCATATTTGGGGATGAATTTAGTGCTTAGGTACAAGCTGTTTGCATTGATCAGGTGTCCCTCATCAACAATCTGTGGTTAACAGTTTAAAGCTCTAAGTCACAATTTTTATTAAATGTTTGTTTTGTCATCTTTTTCATATTGAAACATGGGCCTACAACATGGGCCCATCTTATTTCAAGGTAAAGTTTGAATCTTTGGACAAGACTAGGTCAATGGCTTATATCAAAAAATCTTGTTCATTTTGTTCGAACAATATATCTCTCAGTTTGTGCATTCTTCTTTGTTAATTTTGAATACCGAATCTTCAAGGTTGAAATACATAATAATGTTCCTGGTCGACTTAACTGGCGGAATGCGTTTTCCTAATATGGGCATGTAAATCGATACATGGGCGCATTTTTCGTGGAACCATATTTCTTCTGATAAGAAGCGATAAATGGCAAAAAATATGAAATATGACCATAAGGAAAATTTATGTCAAAGAATATTTTAAACCCATTATATAGATAACTAAAAAGATACAGTGCTTTTAAACTTCTTTTGATTTTTCAGCCATATGTGTTTTTCCTCATTAGTTGTATATCAAGATGTTGCAAATTCCAAATGTTGAGGAAAAGATTTCTACCGATTAAATTTATTTAAAAATTAACATGCCCTTAAACAATAAAGACAATTAAAAACCCGGCAAGGTACAAAGGTAACTACATGTACAGGGAAAAACTTATTTTCAGTCAAATCAAAAAATTTATCCAGTATTTTTAAAGAGACTGTTTCTAAAACAGTTATAAAATTAAACAAAGTTTTGTAAAGGGTGTTTCAACAATTTTTTGAAAATTGAGCTTTATTTATGTTGGTATTTGTTCTGCTATGTAAGATTGTGCAAATGTGTATTGTAATAATTATATATAATTTTATTTTATAATTTTCTATAAGATAAAAACTTTAAATACATTCACAAAATGTGCCCTTTATTTAGCTTCGTGAAATAAATTAAAGACAACAAGTGGCCTAACTCTTGTCTGCCTTTTTATTTATAAGATTATGCCCCTTTATAAATTTGAGATTTAAATTTTGAAAAATAGAAATTAGGTTATACATTGGAACCTTATTAATCATATGATTTTAGAAATTAGTCAAAAGAAAGATTTATACAATTAAAGTGTTTGATAAATGTGAAAATAATCATAATCCAAGCAACAGTTTACATGTATTTATAATGAGAGAATTCTGATATTTTTAGGGACATATTTACATATTTTGATATTTAAATCTTAGTCTGTTGGTAACAATTGTGGTTTTAAATTAGGCTTGCTTAAATCAATTTATTTATTAATGTGATACACGTTAAATTAATATTAGAACAATCCTTAGATTTCCGTAAAAGACAAATGTGAACGCAGAGTCATGCTTTTTTTAACAGTAACAATGTTAAATCTTAGGTAACTTTTACATGTAAGGTAAAAAGATTAACATAACCAAGTTTAAGTAAAGATAATAAAAACAATATACAGTATCTATTTCAATACTTCAGATAGGATATCAGATTCATGGAATTTGTATTCTTCTATGAACTAGACAAGTTTTACATTCCATGAATGAAATATGATTTGAGAGTATCAAGTGTCATACAATTAGGACTCCTTTAAATTATGTACAATCACGTGTGTTTACTGCCTGTACTCTTATATGCTCCTAAAGTATTAAAAGGACAATAAATTAAAGAAGGCAGTTTACAGCCTGTACTACTGTGCTACTCAAGTTAAGACAATAAATAAAAGAAGGCCCTCAAATAAAACTATTATATTTATTTATATGTAAATGCACTTTACAAATTATTTTATTCACAGAAAAAGCATAATTATATTTTCTTTTATGAGACACTATATAAAAAAGGCTTCAATTACAGATTTTGAATATGTTGACAAGTTTCAGCTTTCGGACATTTAATTATGCGAAAGAAATTTCAAATTTCTTGTATTCAATTCAAACCAAAGAAGAGTAGTTGTGTTCAAATGGAAATAATAGTTTCCAGCTTTTTACTTTACTGCAATTTTGAGCCATTGGAAGGGCAAACTTTTTTTCAGACTTTTCTGAATCTTGTCTTAAACATGTCTCAAATGGAAATAATAGTTTCCAGCTTTTTACTTTAATGCAATTTGTGCCGTTGGAAGGGCAAACTTTTTTTTCAGACTTTTCTGAATCTTGTCTTAAACATGTCTGAAACTTGTCAACAAATTTTATTTTCCGTTTGCTATTAATTTTTGCTATTTCTGTTATTTTTTATTTCTTCCACGTATTTACAGCATGATCCGAAGAAAGCGGAGAACTTTGACAAGATGTTCACTCGCTCAGCGTTCAAGTTGACGCCTACAGATAGTCTTGTTATAATGAACATAGATGACAGTGCCTTCGCTAACTTCTCTTACTGCAATCCGTATTACGAGCCACTGGCTAGCTCATTGTCTGCCACTACATCTGTACAACACTTGTAACTGTATCACATTATCACATTTATCGTGCTTTTATATGCAGTCTTTATTTTCTTGCGCATGAGTAAGCATGCCATGTATGACAATGTGACGGGACGTGTATTTTTCGTGTTAATTTTTTTTTTTTTTTTCGGAAAGAGAAATGAACGTTGTTTTTTTTTTCCTGGACGGTTATGGCCTGGGAAGCTCAGGATAAATGTGGTGTATCGAAGTAAGAGAAAGAAAAATGAGTATGTGTTGTGTAAATATATTGTGTAACTTGCGAGACAGTTTTGATTGTAAATTTGAAGAGATTTGAATGCAGAACAGGGACGGTCTCTCAGGTTTTATGAAAACTAAGACAGGACTTCTATACAAGTTAACAGACAGGAAGTTGAATGTTTGAGAAAAGTTACTGCAGGTAGGAAAGAAATCTTCGGAACAAAAAGAATCTTCAAGATTACTACAAAGGACATTGTTGTGCAGCTGTGCAGTTTACTTGTCCACAAGATACTTTATAAACATTTTCTGTCTTTATTTAGTCTTATGTTACCATCATAGTAAACTACAACTCCAAATTTATTTTGTACTTTCTTTTCTTTTGAGTAAAAAATGATAATGGCATACACATGGCTTTGATTTTTCATTCTTTTTATTATTATTTTATTTTTTTGTGTGAAATTGTCAGTCTCTATTTTGGCCATTACTTTTTTATTCAGGATTTTTTACAGCCAATAAAAGAAGCAAGACTGTTTATGACATTACTTTATTTGTATGATTTTTGTGCCAACCTTTAAAAACCAGACATACTTTATAAAAATGTTTATATATTTATTGTTTGAACTGATTTACTAGTTGTCTTTTCAAATTCTTTGTTATTCTGAAAAAGTACATGTACCGGTACGTACATGCATATAGAAATAATCTAACTCATTGCAATCTCTCAGAAATCATATTGGATAATATTAGTTGATCACTTGTAGAAAAATTGGTAATTACTGGTTACTAATCCAGGAAAACTGGTAGGTGTACAGGGCTGCATTTCATAGAAAGTCCTAAGTATTTCCTAAATCTGATATAAAAAACCAACTTTAGGCCGTTTCAATGAAATAAAAAATAAATATCTTCAGTAAAATGCTGTAGACTATATATAAATGCATTCTACTGAGAAAAGTTCTGAAATATATTGACAGACCCTTTTTAATAATTCGCAATGTGTAAATGGCCCCATCAGCATTGCTCTTCAGAAATTAAAGTGACATTATGCCCATCCAAGTGTATAAATGAGTGAACAGGTCAAAATAAGTTTTCATTTTTTCCATAATTCGATCTTTTAATAAGAACAATTATTTCACATTTACAAAACCAAAGGATTTTTTCTTAAATATCCATTAGAATTTACCTGTAGCATTCAGTTCATAAAAAGAGTGGGGCAGTCTTTTTATATTTTAGGCAGATTATAGATTATATCCAAAACATTTTCCATTATGAACTGTTGGGTTTTTTTTCTTCTTTTTCTTTTTTTGTTAATTAAGCAAACAGTTCCTGACATGTATATTTTAAATCCTATTTTTATACAAATGTGTTTATTTTGGAACACCTAAAAGTATCATAGACTTAAATGGCATTACTTACAAAAATGCTCATTTAATTATTTTTCAGAAGTGGTTGTGTTTCTTAATTACTACTATTATAATTATATGTTATCCTCATATATTTGTGGCATTACTTTAAAGTTTTGTTTGTGTATATTTTTATATTTTGATGTGATAAAAAAAAAAGGTTTAATCAAACAAGGAAGTAAAAATCAAATATTGTATTGAGATAACAGCTTGATTTATTGTCTGTTATATATTATCTCACACTTTTTATTTTACTTGAAAATTATGAAGTCAACTCTGAGAGTAATAGCAGACAGTCAAAACTGTATTTTTATCTGATTAATTCCTAAAAATCACATAGTCTGAACATAACCTTGTATACCTCTCTAACTCATCTTTGACCAAACACGAGCTTCAAAATGGCTTGCTATATAGTCAGTCAAGCCTGCTGATCCATGTAGCTTTAACCATTCTCTGTATTCATGCTTGCTAATTTTAAAAGTTTTGATATTGAAATCCTTAAAAAAGACAATAGTTCCAAATTTAAAAACAGGGTATCATTCAAATTTATTCAGATTTTTTTTTCACTGCAGGGTTGATATACTAAAAAAATTTTAACCCACCTTTTCAATTTTTTTTGCTTTGCTTGCCAATATAAAAATATTAAATGCTGATTAAATATTTTCTAATAAATAGATTTTTGTCAATTTCAAGCAAAATACATTATTTTGATTATTTTGTACATAAATGAAGCATATTTTTTCAAATTTCTTTGACTTGTATCTACACAAATTATATACTGTATAAAGCTTTTATCATCTTGAGAGCAATTTGTTCAACACATTCTTGGTTGTTGCATACATTTTGATTGTTGCTTAGTGGTTTTTGCCCCTGATATCAAATTTCTTGCCTCTCACTTGTTTTCTTGCCCCTCACTGGTGTAGATTCATACCCAATCAGAGACTTTGACTGTGTTCATTTGAGGAAGCTGTGAACAGCTGGCTTATAGAAAGATTGTGTTTTTCACAGGTGCCTGCCCTTGCCTGAAATAACACCCAGAATGGCACCTTAGGTCTTCCTGCACAAGTAAAGCTGGAAAGTCGCCATACTATATTACTATTTTAACATTGCTAATGGGAGTTAAAACCCAACAATTACTTGATGACCATCTTACTTACTTTTGATTATTTGTCAATTTTCCATTTCTTTATGTTGTTGCTATACAAATGTACTATATGTTTACTCTTTTACAAATCATGGACGATTATTTCTATAGCTTCTATTCAAAGACGTTCTTGGATTGCATTCTTGAATCTAATATAATACCTGATGGCATGGATGTCAAATTTTATGTACGGTATGAAAGTGTGTTCAGTAAGTAAACATAGATCCAATTCACAGAGCCTGTGTTTATCAACAATTCAGTATCTGAAGTTAACTGTAAAATACCTGAAGTTAACTTTAAATTGTCTGAAGTTTATTTAAGAATTTAAATTGAATATTTTGTTTTATATGAGGAGTGATCTTTTACATTTTGCTAAGTCATCAATTTTTTATATTGTAATTCATTAGCCAATTTCTGCCAAGTTTCTTTATTTTTGTGTGTGAATATTTAGAAAGGAATAGTAAGTATGCTACAGTGTAAGTTAGAATTTCAGACTGAAAATGTTTTGGAATACTGACCTTGAATGCCTAAGTACACATGTTCTTGGTGACAAAATGACTTTCAATCCACCATTGCTCTACATATCTCACAAGTATTTGAACAAGTTGTCTGCCATGCCATTCCTTTTGTATAACTTATCAATTTGGTGTAGTTATTCTTGATCCCAAAGTTTTTTACATGGCTAATATTATATTGTGGTGTGGTTTCTTTGTTTTCTTCCTATTCATCCAGTTGGCTAATATTTTTGTATAAGAAAAGCTTAATATAGAAGTGCATATGATTTTGTTTGTCTGTTTTCAAAGTAATTTATTATTCATACATGCATACAATAACCAGGAATTATATTTGCATTAAGATGTTATAGGTAGTGCATCAATCTTTAAAACCTAAATGTGTGTCCAGAGGTTTTTATGTCTGTGTCGAGCGAGATGTATGTTTTCATTGTTAATTCTTTATAGATAATAGAATAAGAGCATACATAGAATTAGACCATAAGATAATGGCATTGATATAATTAAGACCATAGTTTAGAGCATACATACAAATTAAGACTATAGGTAAGAGCATAGTTATAGAATAAGACCATAGAATATATGAAGAATAAGACCATAGATAATGGCATTGATACAAGGAAGACCATAGGTTAGAGCATACATAAAAATTAAGACCATAGGTAAGAGCATAGATATAGTATAAGGCCATAAAGTATAAGACCATTATAAGATAATGGCATTGATATAATTAAGACCATAGTTTAGAGCATAGATACAGATTAAGACCATAGGAAATGGTAGAAATGCAGATTAAGACCATAGATAAGAGCATAGATACACAATAAGAACATTAAAAAATATAGTTAAATTGTTTTGTAGAATGATTACCCTTGGTTAAGCTACCAAATCCAACTAAGAGCCTTTTGTCTGTAAGGTATTTGGCCACTTTGGCTAATTTATAAAAAAAAAAAAAAACTTAAAATTAGTTTCTTTTCAAAGCTTTGTGTTCAAGTCCCACAAAGCTTACTTACTACTTTCCTACAAGGAAGATATAAACATCTTCAAAGGGAGGATCACTCAGAGCAATGAAAACAAAAATGAATACAATGGGAGAAAGTCACAGACTAAAATTGTCTGTTCATGAAAGACAAAGAAAACTACAACATTTCTCACTGTCCATATCACTTGCTTGAGCACCATGTTTGTCACTATCTTGAGTCTTCCTTTTAAAAGCTGGAAACCTGATGTTTGACCTTAACAGAAGACAATGTAGATTTAAACCTAATCAAAAATGGAAAATATTAAAGTAAATTTCTCTGATAAGTGGTAATGAATTCAAAATCATGCAACAGTAAATAATGGTCCGTGATTTTAACAAATTTTATGTAACATTGAATGGTTTAATAGTGTTATGTTAGTGTTATGTTACACAATTTGTAAAACAAATATTTGGGACAAGGAAAAAAATCTTTATAATGTAGCATAGCATAGTAGGCTTTAACTCTGTGTTTCATGGTGACCTAATTTTTGGTTTTCAAGGTTTGTTTGGCACATCTTAACATGTGCCCCATATCTTCCTGTATTCTTAACATAGATGAGATGGCGTGTTTGATTTCATTTGTTTGCTTCGTTAGCATTTCATGTCTGCCTTCCAAATTACACTGATAGCAGATTTATTTCATGGTTGTCTGTTTGTAAAACTGTAAAGATTTTGCCACTCAACATTAGTTCTTCCATGTAAAATGTTTTTAACTTTTATCTCCAATGTCTGCTTGAACAATCTTGCCAAGGCTGCCATAAAATTGATTGGTGTAATTTCTTTCAAAAAGAAATTTGTGTAGATTTGTTTTTTGTATAGTAAGTATAAAGGGTGCATATGTTTGTTTGTTCTTATACAAATGTTACTTTTATTTTTTAAAGTTCTATTTAGTATTTTTCTTTGTCTGTTTGAGTTGTCCATTTCAGTTCTTACCAGGTTGTGAAGTCTTTATTATAAAATAATGTAACCAAGAACAAGTCTATTACTTCTAATCATTCTTGGTTCATTTAAAGTCTGTACATGTAACTCTCTTATTATTTGCATTTTCAATGCTCAATCTTGACATTTATAAAGTTGCAATATCTTGTCTTCCTGTTTGCATGTTTGCAAAAAAACAACATAAAATAACAGAGCAGATTCTTTATAACCATGGAAAAAATCTTAACCCTGTGAATGTTGAAACAGAATCTGCAAAACATTTTTATCATCTGTACAGAGCCAATAAAGCCGGCGCATTCATGCGCTCTGTTTAGGCTCTGTACCATTTGTTCAGGCTGTGTACCATTTGTTTAGGCTGTGTACCATTTGTTCAGGCTATGTACCATTGGCTAGTCCCTTTAGTTTTCTCTGACTGACCAGGACTTTTGTACTTTTGTACTGTTGGCTTATGAATACATAGATCCCTGACATGCCTTATTCTAATTATCAGATTAGTGGAAATAATGAGAATTTCACCACAACATGGCACATGTCATTGTTTGTGGTGAAATCTATTGTTATTTATATAAAAGGTCAGAGTTGCACCATTTTTTGCCATTTTTGTTTTTCTTGAGTGAAAACAACCATCAAAGTGCCAAAGTTCAATGTTTGTTTTGGGTTTCTTTGTTAAAAATGAAATAATTTTAAGTCTTTTTTAAGTTTTGTAGAATGGACCCCTTGCAGAGAAGACTATTACAGACAAGTTTTTGTTATATTTTTCCTGGTGAAGTCTTTTGTATTTTCTTAGAATAGGCCCCTTTAACAGAAGGCTATTATAGACAAATGATTGTTATATTTTCCTGGTGAAAAGTCTTGATTATCTTTGATTATGTAAATATTTTTATGTTTAAGAATACAATTTAAGCAGAAACTTTGGTTATGTTATTAGATTTGATTTTAGTTTAAGAATATGATATAATAATATATTTTATATATCTCTTTATATATATATGATAGTTTAGTTTGTAGAATAGACATTTTTTTCTCAATTCTAGATGGAAGTCTTTATGTTTCTTTATGTTTTGAAAGGTAAATATATTTACATCAGGTCTAAAAATAATTTTACAGCTACAATCCTAATAAATCTTTTGATCCTTGAACAAAACAAAAAAAAGATAATAAAACTTGAAATTGCCACAAGCATAGTGCCATGGAAGTCGGCACTTGGGTGAAATTTGAGCAGACTTTGAGCTGGTTTTAGCAGCTTCAATCTTTCATCTGATATTCAGGAAGGTATGATTGTAAACAGTCCCAAGGACAAGCCCATTCTAGAATTTCAATTTCAACTGGACGTAGGTTCAGGGATCTTGGTATATCTATATACTTTATTCTGTAGCCTGCTGTTGGCTACTAGAAATAAACATGTGACCAGTGCAGACCAAGATCATCCATGTCATCTGATCATGCCTTCATGGCCTTCTATTCAGTCAGTACATATTTCAAGAATTTCCCCAAAATAGCTGAATTGTTTTTATCTAGATTGATAGGAAGGTCCTTTAAAGATATTTAGCATGGTAAGTGTTATAATCATGACCATTGTTAATAGATTAAGTTGAGTTCTGCAAGCTTAGTATTTCATGAAATGAAATTATTTGGTTACTTTTACCATTTGTCTGAATTACCAAATAACAAGGTTCTTGATTACATGTACAGGTTTTTAGTTACATTGACGTTCTTTGTTAAATTTACAGGTTTTTGGTTACATTGGTGTTCTTTGTTACATTTACAAGGTTTTTTGTTTACAGTCAAACCTTGACGTTTTTAGACCTGAATCAGGCCAATTAAAGGAGTGTCCTCAACCTGACCTATCACTGATTATTTGTGAATGCTTAATCCATGTAAATGGGAAGTATTTTTAAAGCAAGGCTTATGTACTTGAAATCATTATTTTTCAAACAATTCAATAAACATGTGCACTAAAGGCAAGCTTGTAAGAATGTGGTATAGCTGAACATGTTTGCTTGTTTTCTGTCAATGTTACCAAAGATTGCACCATATATATATTTTTCAATGAACAATATGTAAAGTTTTTTCCTCCAATATTTCAGTATTTCTTTTCATGTTTTTCAACATGTACATTAAGTTTGTTTTTTACATGGTCATATCGACTGTTCATATACATGTATATATATTTTTTTTTCTTCATGATAATTTGTGTATATGTTGCACATATCTATATTCTTGTATGTGTGAACTTGTAAATTATTTTGAAGAATTGTAATGCTTTTATTTCTTGTTTTTCTCAAAAAAGTAATACTTTTCTCAAAAATCTTCCAAAGAATTACATTTATGTCAGAAGAGAAAGGTAACTTTAACTTGGATCTTTTTCAGATTTTTTATCAAACTTTTTTAGTGTTCAATTTAAAAAGGGAATATTTTTTTCTGAATATATGTGTGTTCTTATAAATATTATCATTATTATCATGATTGTTTTTACGATAACTATGAACATAAATATACTGAAAACTACTGCATTTAACAAAAACCTTGAATTTATATTACTTTTCTATCATTTGGCATTATGTTCTTGGAGCTTTTATAAACTATTCTTTAGACAGTCCCATTTTGTTTCATTTTTAACACTCCTAGATGTATTTATGTAATTTCAAAACATTTAATCTTATATAATATATTTAAAAAATATCTTATATATTTAAATAAAAGCAAATCGGAACGATGCACCATTGTATTTATGTCATATTTTATTCATTTGTTTTATGATTAAAACTATCAAGTCCACGTTTGTTCCAGAAGAATTTAGTGAGGTTTTTTTTTCAATGGGTGTTGTTTTTAAACTGGCAAATTGTCAGTTACAAAGATAATTTGGAACAGTACTTGCAATACTTGCTAATATTTATATGGGATTCTAACATTATTATTCTTTATTTAGAAATTTAAAAAAAGTTTTTTTGGGAAAAAGTTTCTTTGTTGTTATAATTTTTTTCTAAGGAAAAATGCTTATTAGAGGACTTGGACTCTTGGAATTCGATTTTTATAGTTTTGAATACATGTACATGTAAAGGTTTATATGAACACAAGCATAATCATGTTTTTAAGAGAAAAAAATGTTATTTTTATCTTTTTTTAAATGCCACCTTTACACGATAGCTTTGAACTATGTTTGTGCTTTTCATCTTTAATCAATAAAAACTTGGAACAATTCTTGTATGAATTAATTTTCGAATAAACGGCCTAAAAACAATCAGAATTTTAAATATGAGAGCATTGTATTTTTGCCATGTTTGTCTTTTGTAATTATCTTGAAACTGCCATGGAAAATTAATAAATTTATCACTGTAAACAGTTTTTGGTTTGAATTTAATAGTGCAATAGTTTAAATAAACTGACACCAGCAATCATAGTGACTATAGATTACATAACTTAAATATCAACATTATATTTTTTTCCAAATGTTGCAGACATAATGTGTTCTTTCTTTCCTTGTTTTCATTTTGCTCTTTTGGCATAACTTTGACAATTTATTTTGTTTGTTGTCAATGATGTTTATCTATTGACTGATAAATGGAGTTTTTCTAACTGTATTAGAGATTTATTAAAATATACCGATTATTTTCTTTGTGTTGTTATTTGAAAAAAATAATAATTATTTTTAAAAAAGTTTTTAAAATGAAAAAAAAAACTGGAAAAACTAAGTGAAGCCATTCTAAATGCCAATGGTGTAAGTGGCATACCTGTGGCACCAGGGAATAGTCTGGTTAGCTTAGGATATTCCTTTGCAATCTGATCAGATTACATGTATCACTTTGACAGCATAATTTAGAGATCTTTATATCGACCATTTTAAGAAATATGATGAACTTTTCGTGTTCAAGTCTTAGCATGTCCGTTATACAAAGCCAGTAGAGCAAGATAAAATAATCGTTACTATACTTCAAATACAAAGTTAAAGGTCACATTATCGTTATGTCTTTTGCCATAATTAGATTCGGTCCCAACATTTCGAAATTTTACGTTAGTTTATTATTTTGGTTAAAGGTGAAAACATGGAAAATTTTATTTTATTTGGCCCACATAAAGCTTTACTTAAAATGTATTTCAAATTTCTCTTGTATTTTAAGTATAAATCCATTTTAAATTCAGGATAAATAAGAAGTAAGTAGTTGTCATAGCTATGAAGGTCATATTTTGTATGAAAACGACGATCAGCTTTATCGTAATTCAGTTTGATTGACAGATTTAGTATAGTGCACGGATTTGAATGATAACTACATTACATTAAGAAGTCAAGTCCAGTTCCCACACCAAAATAGGATAAGATCAACAAGGACAGGCGGCGTTCATTGAACGCAACCCCCACGTGACCCAGCAACAAGAACGAGCGGCAAGGAGCTCAGAAGGCTCCCAAGACCACAATCTCTGCATGTTAGTTTTAAGAAATTTAACTTTTTAGAGTAGTTTGACAAGGAACGGTAATAGTAATTTAAGATGTAAAAATAACGGGAATTTATTGTTTTAAATGTTGTATAATATGCGTAATTTCCCTGTGTTTATGTCGTGATAATGCTTTTCAAATTGCCGTATGAGGGGGGAAAAGTGTCTTGTGGTAGCTGGTAAAAAGTCCCGGTTGTTGTCAGCAGTTTGTTATTGTTGTGAAATCTGGGGATTTCAGTATTACAATGTTGTTTTTTAAGTATTTTTTATGTATAATAGATAAAAAACAATATCTTGGTATGATAAATTATATATTAAATATTATTGTAAGTTACCGATGTTCCATGTGTTTTTGTAACTAATTATAAAAAAACGACGTGAATTTCCTTAGATTATTTTCTACTACCGAGTAGTTTCAGAGTTTACGTCTTTAATAAATAGACTGCATGGTATTAAAAGAATAATAACTTCATTGAACAATATTTCATTAAAAAAAGAA